AAAGGGTTATCGGCCGTAAAAATTAGAGCACATAGAAAAGACATGGTGAAATAGAACGAAGTTTAACGAAAAAGACGAAAAAATTATTTCTGGTAATAGGAAGTCCTGCTAGAAGAAAATATATTGCAAAGATTTGAAGAATGTTGAAGGAATTTGAAAAAGAATAAAGTAAAAAGTGAAAAGAGGGGTAAGTTTATAGTTAGTCTTCGAACCAAAGTCATCATTACCTTGATAACTGCAAAACTGCTCGTCTAATCACAGAGAGGCACATGTTAGGATCAATAAATGCAAATAGACGTGTGACCATTCAAGCATCAAAAGTCGTTCAATAACTCTTTTGTCAAGAATGAGAGATCTTATTTACTTCCCGGTTATATCAAGTTGAGTCACTACAAATTTAGAGTTTACAGGTGGACATCTCATGAGTAGACAGGTGACAGTGGTGACAGAATGTAGGTGTGTCAGCAGCCAAATAATAACGGATAAAGTCATGTGATCATTATTATATAAAATAGTTTCTGGGGTTACAAGGCTCAAAGGAATGAATTTAAAACAAGACTCTGGTTGAAGAAAATTAAATCAAATGGGGTAGTCGTTATAGAAGATCTCGACATTTATTCCCCAACGTTCGCAACCATTAAGATGAAATTTTATTTAGCTTTAAGTGGGCGAGATTTGAGAATCTTTTCTTATAAATCTAGCTAAAAATAGAGGCATTTGTACTCATTATAAGGACACAATATAGAAGAACCATCAAGAATAAACTTTCCTTCTTTCATTTTTATAGTTCTATACAAAAATATTTGTCTGAGCTTCGTTATCCTTTATTCTGATACTTTTCATTTATAGTTTTACTAATTAGATCATCTTAATTTATGTGTTTATAAACTACGTATACAAATTCAATTGTATTGTTTTACAGGTAAATATCTCGTATACAAGATATTTGAACATCAAATTGAAAAATCTATGGAAGTTTATATTGATGGCATATTGGTTAAGTCTCTTAATGCAGGGGATCATTTGAGTCATTTACAAGAAACTTTTGACATCTTGAAGAAGTATAACATAAAACTATACCTAAAAAAATACGTGTTTGGAGTTGGGTCCGAAAAGTTCCTCGACTTTTTGGTGTCACAAAGAGGGATCCAGGTAAATCCGGACAAGATTAAAGCCATAATAGATATTTCCATCCAGCTAAGCAACATAAAAAAGGGCAAAGGTTGACCTGGAGACTAGCAGCCCTTAGCAGGTTCATATTATTGATCTTCCGAGAAATACCACCAGTTCTTTTCGTTGTTAAAAAGAAAAAATAGCTTCGATTGAATACTGGAATGCCAACAAGCATTGCGAGATCAAAAGAAGTACTTGTTAAGTCCACCCTTAATGTCCAAGACAAATGACAGTGTAGCTGTCAGTATATCTGGCGGTGTTAAAAGTTGCGGTAAGTGCAGTTCCAGTCCAAAAAGAAGAAAGTACACAATATCCTGTTTATTATGTTAGTAAGATGTTGTCAAGTACAGAATTTGATATCCGCACCTGAAAAAGTTAGCTCTGGATCTTCTGACTACCTCTCGAAAGCTTAGACTATACTTTCAATGTCACCCAATAGTCATAGTTACGACTTTTTCCCTGCGGAATATTCTACATAAGCCTAAGTAATCAGGGTGACTGGCTAAATGGGCGGTAGAAATTACCGAATTTAATATTGAGGATAAACCACGAACTACTATCAAGCCGAAAGTTTTGGCCAACTTCATGATTGATATCAGTCCCGGAATGATGCCCTGAGCAAAAAAGAAGCAGTTTTAGCTTCAGGGATTGCGTCCAGTGTCTGGACCTTGTTTATGGAGGGTGCATTCAATGTTAAGGGGTCCAGTTTGAGCATAATGCTTAGTACTCTAATTGTAGAAATTCTAAGGCAGGCCATACGAAGTATTTTTTTAGCTAACAATGAATTCGAATATGAGACTATAATTGCAGGACTTGAGTTATCCTAGGGACTGGGCTCTGTGATTATTGAATTGAAGTGTGATTCTCAGCTGGTGGTCAATTACATATATGAGATTTTCTACGCCAAAGAATAGCATATGTAGAAGTATATAGATAAAGTCCAAGCATTAGTTTCCAAATTCAGGGAATGGACAATCACTCATATTGCAAAAGAGGAAAATGTGGAGGCAGATGTGTTAGCCAACCTGGTCTCATCAATGGAATTAAAAGGCATTAATTCTGGTTTGATTGTACAGTTGGTGCATTCAGTCTTATATGTTGGCAGATATTGCGAAGTAAATTCGACAAGTCTTGTTTGGGACTGGATAAATAAATTTATTGATTATTTAAGATACATCAAGTTGCTTGAAGATTCTAAAGCATTACGAGCACTCAAAACAAAGGTTGTTCATATTGTCTTGTAGAAGGACAATTCTATCGAAGGTCTTTTCAAGGTCCGTTATCCCGGGACTTTAGGTCCTAGAGAAGATGATTATGTGACAAGGGAAGTTTATGAAGGATTTTACAGCAATTATTCCACGGCATATTCATTGGTACAGAAGTTGGTGAAAGACGGTTACTCTTGGCCCCCAATGGAGCATGACACTAATTCATTTGTTTAGAAATATGATAAGTGCCAGCACTATGATTAGATGGTATACCAGCCATCAGAACTTTTGTATCCGGTTGTGTCTTTTGCCTCAGGGATCCGGGCAGGTAAAATTTCTTTTAATTATTACTAATTATTTATCTTAATGGATTGAAGCAGGAGCTTTCAAAAAGATTGAATAATACAAGGTGATAGATTTTATCTGGGATCATATCATTTGTCAATTCATAGTCCCAAAAGAAATTGTGTGTGACAACGGGCTATAATTTATAGAATCTAAAATTACAAAATTCCTAGAAGGATTAAAAATCAAAAGGATTATATCATCTCCGTACCATCCAAGTGCTAACGGTCAAGCAGTGTCCACGAACAAAACAATAATTCAGAATCTGAAGAAAAAGTTAGAGGATGCTAAAGGGAAGTGGCCTGAAAAATTACGAGAAGTAATATGGGCATATCGTACCACGACAAAATCAAGCACCAGAGAAATACCAGTTTCCCTCGTATATGGGACAAAGTCTCTAATTCCAGTGGAGGTAGAAAAACCAACTACATTTTCTCGGACAAGCAAACGAGAAAATGTTGAAGCTATGATGATCAAATTAGATTTGCTTGCTAGGATGGTGGTGCAGAAGAAAAAAATGGAGAGGTATTATAAACATAGACCGAATCTCATTATTTTAAGGTTGGAGACCTGATTCTATGAAAAGTAACTCACAACACTCGAGAAGTCAACATTGAAAAGTTGGGATCAAATTGAGAAGGTCCTTACCGGATTTCAGGTATAACCGATAAGGACTTGTATCAATTGGAAAATCAATATGGAGTTACATTGCCAAGAAATGTGAATGTGAGTCATCTAAAAAGGTATCACTGTTGAAGGTTGATGGTTAAACAAAAAATACAAGCTGCACTCTTTTTTCCTTTGTCCAATTTTTGTCCCAAATGACTTTTTCTGGCAAGATTTTTGAATGAGGAAGCAACGAAAAACATATTATAAAAAAAATTATGACTGTTTACAAGAAATTCAGTGTTCAAATCTTCATAATTTGTATTCCAACATAAGGGAAATTATACCTATCGGTACGAGAGCGTGTGTTGATGACACTAAGGAGTCGTTTGGTGGGGTGCATAAGAATAATACTGAATAGGGTGTATTAGTAATGTTAGTATTAGTTATGCTTGCATTAGTTATGCTGGTGTTAGTTATGCTGACATATTTCTTATCCATTGTTTGGTTTGATGTATTAAAGCATTGTACAATTTCTAAAAGAATTGTTTGTTTAAAAAAATGCCCTCAAAACTAGTTCACACTCTAACTTTTTAAAAGAAATATATGTTGAGAAATATTTTTATATGAAAAAGTTTACAAAAAATTATTTGATTTGTCTATCTATATTGTAAAATAAAATTAAATATTTATTTATAAAAAAGAAAATATGCTAAGTATTTATTTATTTACTAGGGATATAATTTTATTTCTCACTATTTGGATTATTTTGAACTTGCATTAATATATTAACTAACATATTTTAATCAAACATAAATTTTGAAGGACAATTTTGTCTTTAACTAAGCTAATGCATGCATTAAAACTCATTGCATTGCTAATATCATGGTTTTATGCATATGATAATACCAAATAGGATGTATAGCTAATGCTTGCATAACTAATGCATAAGTTCAAAATGTGTACCAAACAATGTATTATTAATATACAAAGCTAATGCATGCATTATTTTATCTAATGCGTCCTACCAAACGACCCCTAAAAGTATTGATGTTAGCTTCAAAATAGAAGCAAGTGAAAAATATTACCAGAATCCCAGAAATACTGGGGACTGCCGAAATCGGGGTAACATGTTATGAATTCAAAAGTTCAATCATTATAGGTCACCTCAAGCCAGGTTCGGGGACTATACATCAAGCCCCATGGAAATAAGAGTTACGGGTTAGCCACATGAATTAGCAACTCACTAATTTGGAGAATGTAATTTTTCTTACTTGGTCAAATGTATTTTTGTGAGAAAGGAATAATTGATTTTTTTTGTTTTCATCTATCTCTTATTGCTTGTCCAAATAGTTTGGTGTTTCCTTTATTTGTATGTTATGAAAATATCAAATAATTGTGCTGGAATGAACCAGAGACGTCCTTTTCAAGAGCGTCGTAAACATATGATCCTCTCTTATAAAATCTTTCTAGTAGAAAGGTTAAAAATTGGAATCTAGAATACCCGGTAATAAAATCAACCGGATGCGAAATTTTTCGTACATTATCGATAAAAAAGCATGATAAAAAAATATCTTTTTGCTAACTTAAAATTCGAAGAAGTTAAAGTAATTCAAAGTATAAAGTGAAGGAAAAACAATATTTTTATTTTAATTTCCATGCCGAGAATAGAGCCCAGAGAGGGTACAAGAGTTCGGAAAAAACAAAAAACCAAAATATCTTTATAAGGTAAATTAATCTGCTAGATTATAAGAAGCCGAGGTCTTGGAGGCCTCAAAGGTTGGAGCATTTTCTGGAATCACACTTTTCGGAGCAAAAGGTCTTGAGTCTTTGTCTGGAGTTGATGGATCTAAGGCTTGCTCATGTATTCCTTCATCATCATGCTCAAGCTCTACACCTTCATCTTCATCTTCATCTTCAAGTTCATAAGATTCAGAGCTGGTTCATGTGGAACTTAAAATAGAAGGCCGGGCAGGCATATTATCGAAGGAGATTATTTCTAGGGTACGAGCCTCGGTAATGCAGTTCTCTATGTTCTCAATGCCGATTTTGACGTCCTCCAAAGATTTTCTTCACATTCTATAGACAACATGAGTCTTCAAGCACAAAGGACTCCTCTTGAGCTCAGAATCTTGCTCGGAGCTCTGGATTGCTTATTATGTCACTCATTTTCGACCTTCAAAATCCTATAGGTCTCCGCCAGGTCAGTATTAGTCTTTGCATGCTCCCAATTTTGTTCCATGACCTTTTAGAGCCTTTTCTCTATTTTGGCCCTTTTTTCCTTTGGCTGCGGTAGATTCCTCGGTCTTAGAATGCAAGTCTGTTTCCAAGGCCCAGATCTTTTCCATGGAAGCTGACTCCCATTCAGCAGCCGAAGTAAGAGCATCTTGTAGCTCCGTCCACTTTCCCTTCAGCTTGGCAAGTTCATCATGAAGTTGTGTGACTTCTTGGCTGTGAGCTATTTTTTTGTTTCTCCATTTGCTCCAACAAGACCTCAAGCTCTTCCATTTGGGAAAATTTGCCCTCTAAGCTCAGCAAGTCGATCACGCTCATATTGAAATTCTTGCTTCTCCAAAAACATCCTTTGGGAGACCCTCAAAAGTAAGAATATTGGCCTAAATGATAAAGTTTAAAGTAAGCAGGGAAAAAGAAAGAAAAAAAAAAAGCAAAAAGTTCTTGAGCAGAGAGATGCATGCTATTGTTGATAAGACACTTAGCAGAAAGAGCGTTCAATTTCTTACAGTCCTTATAAGTAGCCAGGGTTTTCATATAATTTTTCTACCCAACCAGCTTAGAGAGAATGCGACATTCATCCGGAACCATAATGGTAACACTATGTTTAACATTAGGGTCCCGAATTGGAGCCGAAAAAGTGCTCTCCATGTTCCCGTTATCTGGTGACCGGGAAGGGGTGGGGNGGGGGGGGGTGTTAGAGAACGAATACCTTGCCTCGATCTACAAGTGAATGTTGTTAGAGAAGAGGTTGGGACAACACTTGAAGTATCATTTCTTTGACCGCTACTAGCAACGGGAACCCCAAAGGTAGAGTTGACAATTTCAGCTATATCAAAATCTTGAAATAGTCTCTCTGTCTCCTCTGGATGGACTGTTTGGGTTCTTTTTTTCTTTTTCTTTGAAGAGACGCTGCTTCAACATCATCTTCGGTTTCTTTTTCGTTAAGGACCACTGTATTCAGCCCTGCAGGGATCGCCTCCGAGACAGGAGGCTATGTTTTTTCCCTAACTTTGGAAGAGAGCTTTCTTCTAGCCCTCTTCTCTTGAGGTCGGGGACTGGCGGATGATACAGCTCCACAGGAAGAAGATTCCGCTTCACGAGCCCCTTTTTGGTCAATGACTTTTTAAGTTGTTGTTGAGTCACCTTTGGGTCAAATGAAATCTCGACGACCGAGCAAACAGATGATCCCTTGGAAGGCCTTAAAATAAAAATAAAAATAAAAATGCAAAATCACAAGTCTATTGCAAAAGAAGGTGCATGCTAGTGAGGAGGTTTAATGAATGCTCACCATGATTCTTAAACATCTAATTTTTCTTTATTGAAATTTCTTTCACACGTACGCAGTTCTCGGAGTTCTGGTATGAAAGAATCCAAAACCTTTTGAACCCACCGGGGTAGGCCTTCAACTACTAAAGGGACCCAATAGGTAGCTTAAAAAAAGAAGAGAAACAAGCGCAAAGAGGATGGAAAATCTTACCAAAAAAACATGCATATAAGAGAACGAACGAGTATAGTTCCATGTATCGAGAATTGAAGGTCCTGACGAGGGTATGATGTCCTTGGAAGTGAAGGCAACAAACTTTTCCATCCAATCACGGTCATTGTCATAACCCAAACTGGTGATAATGGCATTATGACCACGCCTGATGAGTTTGATCATGCCTCCTCGGATGATCTTGGGAGAGTAGATGGATTAGGTGTGCAAGGGAGAGACTTTTTTTGTGCCCAAGAGGTTAGATACTGTAGGCAAGCTGCCATACGTCATACTACCGGACCTACTTAAGCTAAGCAGACTTGGTAACTCCAGCAAAAGTCAAGGATGACTGGATGAATTTCGTGCCCGAGCCTGAGGGTGAAAGGATATATATAAGTAAAAGTATACCCAGATTTACTGAAGGTTACCCTCTCCACGTCTAGACGAGCCAACACTTGCATATTTTCTAGCCAAAATCTTGTTTCACAATAGGAATGTTGGCCAGTCAAATAGAAGAAGGGTACTCGCCGATCATTCTGTCCCCGTCATTTTTCATTTTTTGGGTTTGAGGGAGTCCCTGGATTTGGAGATCCTTATCAAAAGACCATTCTTTAGGAATGATCATGTTCATAGTGGAGGGGTTCCACTGATGTAAATCCCAACGCCGACAATTATTGGAAGTGGTTTATAGTCGGTTTGGCCAAGCTTTTCAAGACAAAAAAAGTATATTTTTTTTTCAAAAGCATTTTTTTTTTTCTAATTTGAGGTGTTTGGCCAAGCTTATTTGGAAAAAAAAAGTGTTTTTGGGAAGATGCAGAAGCAGTTTCAGAGAAGCAGAAAAAAGTAGCTTCTTTCCAAAAGTAGAAACAGAAGCAGTTTTGGCTTTTCTTCTTACCTAAAATACCCTTAACAAAATATAGTATATACCAAAATAACACTTAAACCTAATACTTAGGATATTAATTTATATATTTCTTCTTATTTTTAGGAAACTTTCTAATATATAATGTCTTTAGGGGTGAATGCTTTTATATTTGTTGAAGGAATTTTAATATATTTAACTTATATTAAAAGAATTAAGTACTTTTAAATTTTATTTTCATATTTTACTTAAATAAAATGAATTTTTTTTAATTATTGCATGTAATAACAAAATTTTGATATTATTTATTTATTTATAATATTAATTATTAAGTAAATCTATTCATGTCCTTATTCGTAATTTGATACTTAAAAGCACTTTCTAAAAAGGTTGGCCAAACACAAATTATTTCTCAAAAGTGCTTTTCAGACTGATTAGCCAAACACAAACTGATTCTCTTCAAAAGTACTTTTTTCAAAAGCACTTCTCAAAATAAGCTGATTTCTCTAGCTTGGCCAAACAGGCTATTAGCCAGGACTCACCATGTTTGACGATAGCAGAAGGGTTATCAATGGTGGAAATTGTAGTGCATGGAGAAGACATGGTGAAATAGATCGAAGTTTAACGGAAAAGACAGAAAAAATTTCTGGTAATCAGAAGCTCTACTAGAAAAAATAGATTGCAAAGATTTGAAGAGTGTTGATGGAATTTACAAGAAAGAGTAAAGTAAAAAGTGAAAAGAGGGGTAAGTTTATAGATGGTCTTCGAACCAAAGTCACCATTACCTCGGTAACTGCAAAACTGCTCATCAAATCACGAAGAGGCCGTTTTATTATCAATAAATGCAAAGAGACCTGCATCACTTTTTAGTGTCAAAAACCATTCAATAACTTTTCTACCGAGAAATGAGAGACCTTATCTATTTTTCGGTCATGTAAAGTTGATCACCGATAAGTTGGGGACTATCTATATTGGCTAAATTTTAGAGTCCAGAGGTAGACACCTCACGAGCAGACATATGACAGTGATGACATGATATAAGTGTGTCAGCAGCCAAATAATATCGAATAGAGTCGTATGATCAGTATTATATAAAATAGTTTTCCGGGACGCTAGGCCCGAAGGAATGGATTTAAAAAAAAAAAAAAGACAACAGTTGAAGGAATTTAAATTAAAGGGGCAGTCATTATAGAAGATCTCAACATTTATTCCCAACATTATGCAGCCGTTTAGAGGGAATTTTATTCGTCCGTAAGAGGGCAAGATTTAGGAATCTAGTCTCTCTAAATCTAGAATAGAGGTATTTGTACTCATTGGAAAGAGACGATCTAAAAGAACCATCAAGAACACACTTTCCTTCTTTCATTTTCATAGTTCTATACAAAAATATTTGCCTAAGCTTCGTTATTAACCTCGCTCCGGTGAACCTAATCTGAAATCTAGGCTTGTTCATTCTTAGAGCCCGTTTGGCCATGAATTTTTTTTTTTCACTTTTTTCGAAATCAGTATTTGGCCATAAAATTTTCAATTTTCACTTGAAGATAAATTTTTTAATTTTTCAAAAATATGAAAAACTCCAAAATGCTATTTTTCAAATTTTTTACTTATATCACTCATAAAAATTCAAAAATAACCCAAAATTATATTCATGTCCAAACACAACTCTAATTTTCAAATATCATTTTCATTTGAAAAAAAAAAAATTACTTTTTTTTCCAGAATTTTACAATTCTTATGTCCCCCACTTAGTATCCTTTACTTTGCTACTTTTCATTTATGGTTTTGCTAATCAGATCATCTTAATTCACCTGTTTATAAACTATTTATACAAATTCATTTGTATTTTTTTTACGGGTAAACACAAAATCAATTAAAAGTGGAAAAGTTCTGGGTTGACAGCAGATGCAGGTTCAACTGCAAAGTGCAACCAATATGCAAAACTATCGCATAAAATGTTACTTCAACAAATGGACTTCAATAGATGTGCTTGAAAATGAGGAAGATACTTTTGTTAGTGAATTGTATTAGTACTGGCAATTAAATGGGCCTTAATTGATTCTTTGTGCCATTATCAAATTGTTAAGGTGCAGTTGGAAGTTGACTATTTAATTACGATATACCAACATCCAAATCCTTTAAAATTAAAATACTAGGCTACGTTCATGCATGCATCGAGTACAGATGGGAAAGGATTAGCTCCAGACTTATAATTAGTCTACATTTCTCTCTATTTCTTTTCATTTCTTGTTATTATCCTTTCTTCCTACAGTCTCTTCTTTCTTTTAGAAAATTCAATCGTTCTTATTGCTTTTTTCGAAACAGTTTCATATAACAAAAGTTCCCTCTTTAAATTAGTTATTAGTCTTGACCTGAGTTACGAATTGAAAGGCTAAATGAGTAATAGCGAGATTTACTTGTAATTACCTACGATAAGTAACATGTGTAACTATTACTGAACTTAAAGTAATCTACATCAACAGATAATTACCCACCTACCAAAGACAGATACAGTTTAACAGTGCTTCATATTAATATTATCATCTCTATTACTAGTTACTCTACCTATGTCTCTAGTTCTTTTACTATTATTACTATTTCTAGGTAATCAAGATTTGACCTTTCAAGCTCTTCCCTCTATTTAAAGAGCGGAGACCTAATTTTGAAGAACAAGCAAATGTTAGGAAAGTTATCCACTGTGCACGATGCACGCAATCTAATATTTTAAAGGATTTAATTACATATTTAATACTCCAACTGGACGATAACAAATAGATAGTGGCACAAATAATAATAGTACTAATACAATTCACTAACAAAAGTATCTTCCTCATTTTCAAGCACTTCTAGCTGAATAATTCCATGGCCTTGAGCTTCTCCTCCATCGGCTCCATTGCTAAGAGATATGCTTATTTTGTTATCTTAATTTCCCCTAATGTTGGGCTCCTCTCCAATATATGGTCCCATTTTAATTGTTCCGCTGCATGCATTCTTTGGAATATTACATATTAGGGAGTGCACCCTTTTTATATTATTACTCTATGTATTTCATTTTTATGTAGCACTACCTTTTTATTAGTTCGTTTCAAAAACAATATCATTATTTTCTATTTGAATACAATTTATAAATTTTTCATTTTATCATTAATGATATATTTTTTCTTTTTACATAAATGTCATATATGGCCGTTAAAAACTCACAAATTGAGTGTCTTTTTTTTTTCTTTCTTAAAACTCCTTGTTGAGATCAGACTGAGAATGAGGGAGTATTACTCTTTCCCACCAAAATTCACAAAGATCATAAGAAGAAATCACCTGATCTATTTAACGTGTTGAGACTTATTCTTCTTCTAATGATCATATTTAGCACATTTGTATGAAATCACATGGAGCTAGCGGAATTTGTGAAACCGCAGGGAAATCACATGGAGAAATCACAGTTGTATTAGGCTCGAAGGGAAACTCGATCGCATTCATAACTGGTGGCGCTAGCGGAATTTGTGAAACCGCAGCAAGACTTTTCATCAAACATGGTGCAAAAGTAGTGATTGCAGACATCCAAGACGATCTTGGCCAATCCATCATAGACGAAATCGGTGAAAAGGGAGTTGTTTCCTACATACACTGTGATGTAAAAGTGGAAAAAAATGTTGAAAATGCAGTGGACATGGCTGTTGGGATAAATCCGCTACAAAAATAATATTCACGATAATAAAAGCGGAATAAGAACATAGCACCGAGATGTGGTAATTAACAAGAAAAAAAAAAGTAACAACGACACCAAGATTTTTACGTGGAAAACCCTTTTGAATAAGGGAAAAAACCACAGCCTGAGAAGAGCAACTGATATCACTATAGCAAGGAATTTTATACTTTGTAGGTCCGAGTAAAATACTCAAAAGGCCACTACAACACTCAAAAGAAATAACCCTTTTTTGATATTCCCACCTCACTACAATGTCACCCACTCTCTATTTTTCTCACACACTATTTTCTTATACCCTGTCTCTGAAACTTCACTCTTTCTTTCTAACTCTCAGATATATTTTCTTCCAAGATTAGTATGTCGAGATGAGAGCTGAAGCTCTCCTTTTACAGGCAGAGCTTCACCCTCTCACGCCTACTACATTTGACATTTTCTACCTGCAGATCTAATATGCCTACCGAATTTGACAAATGCAAAAGATATGATGGCTGCCAACTTTGAAAACAATCAACAAGGAAGAAAAGTCTTCCTTAATTAATGGGATGGACCCCACAAATCTCTCCCCCAGTCTCATTCACCTGAAGGAGGTAGCACCGGAGATTCTAGTTTGAGCGCATGCCGACAAGTTCTTTGCAAAGCTCGAACTTGTCTCTTGGTACTACCTTGGTTAGCATATTCGCAAGATTTTCACTTGTGTGAATCTTTTTGACCTGTAAAGATTTGTTCTCCACCTGCTCACGAATCCAATGATATCTCACATCTACATACTCCTTTTGATGCAATTCCAGCTCTTGAAGAAATCGCCTGAGCCATATCATCTCCTTGCCAGTTTCTGTAGCAGCAATGTACTCTGCTTCAGTTGTTGAAAGTGCAATACACTTCTGCAACTTAGACTGCCATGATATAGCTCCCCTTAAAATGTAAACAAATATCCAGTAGTGGATTTTCTGTTATCAATGTCACCTGACATATCAGCATTTGTATAGCCTTTCAAGATTGGATCAGATCCTTCAAAGCACAAACAATCTCCCGTGGTACCTCTCAGGTACCTGAGTATCCACTTGACTGCT